GCAAAACTTTTTCAATTCGCTTAAAAAAAATTGGGAATAGCAAAATAATTTTTCTTTTTTATATAGAAAGGTAATTAAGCTGGTGGTTATCCATATATATATGCTTTGATAATTTTAAGGATTATAATTGAAAGAGGAAAATAAGGTGAAATGATGTTCACTTTCAATATTTATATCAGATATAAATAAATAAAAACGTCTTTCATTTTGTCCTCTTTTGTTAATTTCATATAATTGCATAGTAATAGATTCGAAATAATAGCTCAATGATAATGATGATAATATCTCAATCTCGTCATATCTCAAGAACGTTTTGCGTTTTGATTGAATCGAAAAAAATTTCGTACAATTGCAAAAATTCGTTTTTCCAAAGGTAATGCCATGCAAAAAAATATAGGTTTAAATAGTTATAAAATATTTAATATTTTTTATATTTATAATATGCGTTGGAAAAATTCTGAAACCCGATTTTTGAAATCCCCGTGTAGTAAATGGCGACTGATGCGCGTTAAATCTGTCGAGTCGCAAAGTCCTCCTTGTTCCCATAACAAATCAATACCCCTGGGGTGCTTATCCAGGAGTTTCCTTGTCTTCTGGATTGGTTCAAAATTACAAGTTATAGAGTTGAACATTAGTAGTCGTAAACCCGAAAATTGGGTTGGTTGTTCAACGACGGATAAAATAAAATAGCAAGATATACAAATTTTTATAAAATTTTATGGAAGGTAATTTTAAATTGTAAAATACAAAATTTGAATGAAATCGGTTGAATGATTCGAAATCAATAAAATTTTAAGCAAACTGACTTTTTTAAAATTTGATAACTCAGAAACTAATTGATCGATTGCTCTGAAAGTTCGTATTTTGAAATTAAAAGGATGTAAAAATATGTAGAACATACAATTCAATATATTTTACTATTATTTAATAAACTAATAACAAATAATTATTCAAAATTATTTTTGTTTAAAAATTTGTGTATAAAATGTTTTTTGTAATTTTATGCAAACATTTTTCAATACACTCAAAAAGCTCTCGAGATAATGGGTCATATCTTCCAGATTGCGGCTGTTTCTGCATTTTGAAAATTAAAAACCTAAAACTATAGACAAAATTTGTATGTTTATCCAGAACAGAATGCGCTTTTCTGTTCATTTTCGTAACTTAAAATATGGTATTGAGTCTTTGTACGTGAAAATATGATAATCAAAAGTTAATCAAGGTGTTCCCTTTTTCCATTTCATACACTGTACATAAAATAAGTCAATGAGAATCTGTTGTGTTGATTAATATATATTTTAAGATATTGAATACGAACAGTTTAATTGTTTTTCTGAATCAATCTTTTTACTACTAAAAAAGTGATAATAAATTAAAAATATTTTGTTACTGTTTTTCTTTTTTTCCGACTGCATAATTATTGCGTTGATTAAAATATAAACCTTGAATCCGAATTGCGTTGATTTTCCTCATTTAAAAGTATTAAAAAAAGAGAGATAAAAAATTAAAAGCATTTTATTTTATTCTTAAACTTTCATTTTGCTTGAAAATTTCAAAAAGCAATTATGTGATCCCATAAACCATTGATAAACACATTACATGAAAAAGAATTCGTAAATAGGACTTGCGTCTGTTTCTATCCCTCGGGCTTTTGTCAAGGTGTGATTATCCCCTTCTCAGTTCTCCTAAAGAAAGAATAGCAGTTTGAAAGATAAGTTTCCAAGAAAATTAAGAATGTGTCTGTATGGGAAAGGATTTCTAAGGGAATTCGAAAAGTCGTCAATTTCACCCATGTCTAATCGCATCCGGTCTCTAGTTTAACAATGTATGGGCAAAGTTATGAGAAGTGCAGTGAAACTACAATTACATAGAATTTACAATATATTTTACTAATTTTTGTTACTAATTCTTGAAAATAAATAAATAAAAACTAAAAAGTCAACTAAAAAATTTTTTATTAGGAATTCGTAAATGAATTTTTGACGAAATTTAGAAAAAAATGTGATCAGACTATTTTCCCGACGAGACTTTAAAATTTTCCCGATGGGGGGGCTGGCCATGCCCGACAGGAGCATGACACTCCTTTTCAACTCTTCGACGCCTCAAAACTTGGCTTAGAGCAACTTAAAATCAAACGATTAAATGGACTCGCATTATTGAACATTCATCGAGAAATTAATTTGGATGTTGAAATTAATCATTGACAGATTTGCCAAAGTTTCTAAAAAACGCATAACATTTATTATTTTAAGATGTTGAATACTTGGATTATTTATGTATCGTTCATTATGAAAAGAATAAATGAGAAGACTAGCATTAAAAAAAATTTTTTTTTTCAAAAAAAATATTTTAAAAAAATTATTTTTATAAAAAGAATTTATTGTGTGTGGGGGGGGGAATCTGAGTCTTTAACCCCCCCCCCTTGAAAAATTTCTGGAACCGCCCCTGACTAGGATTCTATTTTAATTGTTTAATGGAGTCACCTTAAATGTGCTAATTAGTGCTCTCTATATTTCGAATTACGACATTAAGCACAAAAGCGTGCTTTTGTTGCAAAAACATCAGTTTGGAATTCTTAATGTTAATTTTACTTCTTGCACATCTCGCCGTATATAGAGAAATTTTTTTAATGAATCAAACAGAAATTTGCACGCAAGTATAAAATTCATTTATCCAAAAATAATTTTGTATAATATTTTATTTTATAAAAGACTGAAAAAAAAATTGATTTGTAAGGTATACATATTTTTTTATTTAAATAATGTAATTTTATATGGCGAAATATAAAATTTGTTCGAATAGTTCTTTGGAAATCCAATTTTAAATATTCACCTTCTCCCTAACGGTGATTCTTTCCATTATCAGCAGAGGCGTTTTTAACTTCTTCTGGGTGATACGAATGCATTGATTGCTCTAATCTGAGCTGTGAAGATTACTTTATACAATTTAATTTAAAGTTTGAAAAAAAATCTCCCAAATAGTTAAAAGTATGGAAAATATGTTAAGGAAAAAGATAAAAGAATTTCTTAATGTTTCTCTCTTTATGTGAGATTTTCTGAATTCAATCAAATTTTAATTTTATGAGTTATTATAAATATATAATGATAAAACATTCTTTTACTTATCAGTTTGAAAAGCGAAACTGAACATAATTTTCTTTTTTCCAATTAGAAAGCTTTGCAAATTTAATCATGTAACAAATCTAATTGTTCAAGATTTATTCCTCTAGTTATTTAATGAATTTTGTTCACATAATTGTGTTAACTTAACCAAATTTTAAAATAATAAGGCTATCGCAAAGCTTGAATACGCCATTTAGAGGGAAAACTAGTTCATGCCTTTGGTCCCTCCCTCTCCTCCCCTTCTCAGCTGTGTAGGAATGTACTACGATATTTTCCTCTTTCTTAATATTTTTCGTGTTTAATTAGTAAAAATGTTTTTTTAAATTTACATGACGCTTCCTTTTAAATCTATGTTTAATATAGTTTTCAGTTCCATATCGTTTCCTATCTTAAATGATTTTAATCTATTTAACAGTCGAAATAACGTGCTAGCTACTACTAGAAACTAACGTGCTCCCTTTTTCTATGATTCTCCCACACGCTAATGGTGAAAGCATGCGTAGTGTTGCCATAGGTAGAAAGTTCTGCTCTACGCCAGCTGTAGCTCATTTCAATCGCCAATACTAGCAGCCTCTATAAAGTAGATCACAATGGATGGTTGACTGAATGTAAACAAAAACAAGCTTCCTGAAACAGGAAGAAATTTATCTAAAATAAGAACTCCCCCTGACATTCGTTTGGACCTGTGGCGGTGACCATGGTCACGAGGTATGAATATTTCAGGTAGGGGTGCGGGGTCACTATTTTGGAGTGGTTTTGACTCGGGTCGGCGGGAGAAAGGGAATCTCTTTCTTCGGCCTATTGTGTTAGTCCTAGAGTGAAGCTACCCTCCCTAAAATGCGCCATTCTTGTTTCCATAGCACCAGACGGCCTCAGACTTCGTGGCGGGAGGAGTTCTTATCTCAGACAGACTATACATTCCTCCGCTTATGTTATGTTTCATGAGGTGATGTGTGACCAGGCTTAATATTCTAGGAAGTTTCATTAATGTGATTTGTGTTTAAATTTATACCTAATTTTACCATTAATAAGAATTTTCTGTAATTTGCAAATTCTAACAGGTTGTGAGCCTGAAACAAATTTAACAAAATATCACAGCATAAATAAAGTGTAAGGTTAGCCATGTTTTGAGTGTTATCCTTATCTGGCTATATTTGTTTGAAATATTTCAAACGGAGCTATATAGCTCCGTTTGTTATTTTTTGGGTAGCATCACAGAAATGTTGCGGAGTCTTTCGAATTCATCTATTGTTATTTCGTTGAAAATTTTATTAAAAGAGCATGTTATATTGAAAACACTACAAGTATAATAATATTGGATGGTGCATTTTTTCAAGCTTTGACGTAAAAATCAGTCGGAAGCAGTAACCCGGAAGTCTTTCGATGAATTTTAAATCCTAGCACCATCCGCGCTTAACTTTACACGGTCAACCATCTGGAAAATATCATCTCCGCTAAGGGGCGTATTCAAGCTGGGAAACATCCACGAGGTAGATCCGAAGACAAGCCAGCACAATTTTGATCTTCTGCTCCATAGGATTTTCGATTCTACAGATCTTACGAGCACATATATCCTTTCTATTCGGTGTTTATTAGCGGAGTCGAGGATCGAATCCGAGTCCTTCCGGACTGGAAAAGGAATCGAATGAAGCGTCAGTGTCCTTTAAGCAGCATTCACACTAGATGAGCAAAATTTATGGATTTGAATTCGGAGATGCGAGCGAGAACCATATGACGAAAAATATTTATTGGCGGAAAATCCGCCAATCAGGTTCTCGCTCTCATCTTCAATTTGTGTTTTGTGTGAATGTCCCTTAAGTCAACTAAGTTTTAGACATTTTTTTTTTTTAAAATTCAAATGTGGCAATGATTTTTTTGTCAACGTAAACATTTATTTTTTTTTATTTAATTTTAATGTAAACAAAAAGATAATGTGACTTCTCTGATGTTCATACTAGGCAGCGAAGGAAATATGCTTTTATTCTTTTAATTTACACCTGAGTAAAAATTCGTTCAACTTTCTAACACCTGAACAAAGTGTTTGCTACTTAATTCACATTTTTTTTTGTTGAAAATTCTTTGATTTGACGTTTGTGCCGGTTGGAGTGAGATTAGTCAATTACCGGTATTTGTATTATTTGAAATAAGTTAATGACGTGGTTTTGATAATTTTCCTAACATAAAATAAATGCATTTTATTCTTTTTTTTTAAAAGTTTCGCTAATTTTTTGCTCAATATTTTTTCTGCGCTTTGTCTTACCGTGGTTTTCGTTACGTAAAATGTTATTGTGATATTCTTATGTTTTGATAATTTGAGAAATTTCTGATCGATTTTGAATATTATTTATATTTTAAAGAAGATGTTTTCATTGTTGATTTTAAAATTAAAATACTGTATTAGTTTTAAGACCCGCTTGTCATTCAGACATTTAGAAATGCTGTATTGCAATCATTAACGTCGAATTAAATAACTTCTATCTATCTTGACAACATTATCTAGGATAGTTTCTTCAAAACTTTACATCAGGGGCCTTCAACTTTTTACGACCGAGGGCCACACGTACATTAGGTAATAAATTTTAGTAGCAGAATGAATCTAGCAAATAACTTTAGAATGAATTTCTGGTATTTAAAAAAACTGATATTTTTGTATTGTTATCCGGTACACCAATTACAATCGTCAAGTTTCAAATGAGTTTTGTATATGCAAATTTGTTGTAAAAAATTATGTAGAGGTTTGTGTGAGACTATTTTTCAATTCAGCAGTGTTTAGCGTTACACTTTTCTGTTTGATATTTTCTTAAATGAAAAAAAAAAAAAATTTGATTCTTGACCTGTATTTAGTTCTGGTTTTTCTAATTCAGCTTACATTATTAATCAGACCAACTACAAGTAAGAGAAAAATCTCCAAAAAAAGAGAGCAATCTGATAAGGACTGCTGGATTCTAAATTAACGCTGCGGTTGGCTACGAGTTGGTCTCCTTAGAGATTTTTTTTAGTTTCTTTGTGTGGCTGTCCGAAGAAACTAAAAAAGTACTTCACGGTTATTTTGCTGCACTTCACAATGTGAAAATCTTTTCTCTCAGATAAAAATTGAAAGTAAATGTCACCATCAGACTGAATGAAGTTAACTATTTTTACAACTACAATCATAATGTGCTTAAAGTTTAAAAAAGACATTGTACACATTTTTTTCTTGTTTTAATTTACAAAAAGCTCCCTGCATGTAAATATTCTACACGCAGTTTCAAAAAGAATATTTTAAAGACTTTCCTACTTCTAAAAAATTTAAATGATTATAATTATGATTTGATTATGTAATTGGATTATGATTATATAATTATGATTGGATTATGATTAACTGTATAATTCCATAAGATGTTAGAATAATTCTTGTAACAAAGTTTCTCTGAATTATTTTGATGGGCCAACATATCCCATGTTCTGGGTTTGGCAAAAGAATACAATGATTTTTTTTCCTCATCACATTAACTGAAATAACTGCTGGTAATAGTAAAGTTATAAATCTGACCTTGCAAAATAAATCTGATCTTCTCTATTCTTATCGAAATAAACTTTCGAATGTATAACAGTACAGATCTAAAATACAACTTCATGTAATAAAAATTTGCCCACTTCAATTAAGCTATTAAATTCTTAAATAGAATTTGTAGTATACTAGTAGGATGGAAATGGGAAAAACAAATGAAAATTATTAATGGGATTAAAATAATTGAGCCTGGTGCACCATGCCTTTAATTTGCACTTACTCAGTCTCATGCCCCATGGAAACCCTGAATTTACTTGGAATTGGAAAGTTATATGATTGTTAATGTTTTAAAAGTTTAATTTGAGGCTTTAATTTGACACATTAGCTCTGTATCACAGAACTCAATCTTATTAAATTTTTTGAAAACTTATTGTAAGCAAAATAATGATCTCATTTTAATATTAACTCATTTCTTCTAATGCAATATGTTATTTTTTTTTTATTAGTGCGAGAAAATGTTAATATTCATTTTCTTTTCCAATTTAATGGTTGGTCTTAAATATATTTTTCATTAATAACTTTTTTATTTGATGTATAAAGTAGGTATTAAACTAGAAGGTTAAAAGTTCCCCTAGTTCTTGTCAGGTCATCATAGAGCTCCAGTAGTAACAACTTTTTTGTGTACATTTTCTGATAGTCTGATTAATAAATATATTTCCATTATACTTTTTCCAGCCACCATGTCTTCCTCATACTTATTATATAAACGGCCTAGATGGTTCATTAGAATGTCACCCGAAAAACAAGATACATTACTTAAAATGTTAATATTGTCTATGGCTGCAGTTTTGTGTAAGTATCAGTTCATGTTTAAATCTATAAATTAAGGGGGCACATCCTTTTTCAGTGAGGAGCCATTTGTGTATCAGGTTGACTAGCAAAGGGCCGCTTGCTTGTTAAGTCATGCTGGTGGCAAATATCATAATTTGTCTGTAAACTATTTTTTTCTTTTCAAATAAGATTTTTTTCATTGTGTTCAGAAGCTCTCGCGAGCTGCATGTGGCCCACGAGCGAAAGGTTGTGCACCCTTACATGTGTATTGTATATTATTTGCGAATGCAAATTGTAAGAGATGCAATTTTAAATGTTTTATCAGGTCTATTTTTTATGTTTAATACTGTAGTCATTTATACTGTTGTCACTTTCATCATAAATGGTTTTTGTTATTAAAGAATTAATATTAATCTTATTGGAGATTTATTTTATACGCAAATGTTCTTACTTAATTGAAAATTTACACTTTGAAGTTGCTTTTGGCAACTCACTAAAATTCTAATTTTAATAGTTTACTAATTAACTATGATAGCTTGTACATAACACTTTAATTTCTGCTTATTGTCTTTATATTTGATCACTTAAATTTAATAGTAAAAGTTTCTGATTTTTTCTTTTTTTGCTAAAAATGATAAAATGGTATTAAAATATTTGAAATTAAATATTAATAAGAAATTGATAATTTTTACCATTCAAGTTTTGAAAATTAAGTTTAAATACTTCATTAAATACAAGCAAATTATTATTTTTTGTTATAATATAACATGTAGTAGTTTATACAAATTACTCTAAACTTATCAGAATTGAATTTTTTGTTTTTGGTTTCAGCATTTTCAACTAGGCTGTTTTCTGTTTTGAGATTTGAAAGTGTGATACATGAGTTTGATCCTTACTTCAACTATAGAACAACCAAGTATTTATCTGAAAATGGTTTTTATAGTTTTCATAATTGGTTTGATGATAGGGCATGGTATCCTTTAGGTAGGATTATTGGCGGCACAATCTATCCTGGTTTGTTATTATTTTTTATTAATTTATTTGTTACTTTTATTATACTTCAAATTTATATTGATGTGACATTGAAAATATATTTATTTTTAGGTCTTATGGTTACTTCTGCATCTATTTATCATGTTCTCCAATATTTAAATGTGACTATTGATATTCGAAATGTATGTGTTTTCTTGGCCCCATTATTTTCGAGTTTCACAACAATAATAACCTATCTTCTCACAAAGGAGCTAAAGGTTAGTTACAGTTATATTTGTATTTGATCTTTTTAATAGGGGCAGAATTCCTTTTTTTCCCATCATTATACAGTACAAAATCCTATGTGCGGAAGATTGTTCTCCAAAAACATCTCTTTAAATTATTGAATTTAACACTGAAGGCAATGAGTTTAAACTGAAAAATGTGAATTCTTTTCTCAATTAGATGTGCCTCTATTTCTTTGAGCATGAGAACTCTTTCTTTAGAAGTATGAATTAGTTTTGCCATTTTAATAGCAATTGACAGGAAAAAAACGAAGATAATGCTGTATCAGGACTTGAGCTAAAATGAGAGTATTAAGTGGCATTTTTCAAAAACAAACTTTTGTTTTGTCCTATCCACCTTCACACTTTCTTACTGAACATGCATGTTCTAGGTCACATTTAGAACAACCAGGAGCGACCTGGGTAATAATGTTTATTGTTTTATCTACCTCTTACTATCATATTGTCAGTTCATAGCATCCTATTGTCAGCTCATTGCAGATTGCATTGAACATGCAATCATGATTGACATTGTATCTGCCATCAGTTTCCTCTCAATGTTAATGTGCATTCAAAGTCACGGTTGCAATAAATTTTATGACAAGTATTTTTTTCAAATCTAAGCAAAATTTCTGATTGATAGATAATTGAATCTGATAGTTTCGTAAATGTTCTAAATGATTACTATTAGCATTATAAGAATAACATTTATGACTATGCCGCTAAAACAAGATGATACATTCAGGAAAACAAAATATACAGGAATCAGGGATTTAGATTCAACTATAGTAACTCTTCTTTAAAATTTGAAAACTTTATTTGGCTTAATATTACAGTTGTTTAACTTTCCATGCGGACAAAATATATTATTCACAAACTCAGTCGGGGACTGATTTTACAGTTCAGTTTAGGAATGCTATTTGATTTTAAACTTTAAAATATGGATGTATTTTATAGTATGTATTTTATTATGCATGTATGGATGCATATTTAAGCTTTAATTGTTCAACCTCGGTAAATTTTTGGAAAAAATTTTAATGCCAATTTTTTTTTCTTTATCTAATAGATTAACTTAATTTTTAGGATGCTGGGGCTGGATTGGTTGCTGCTGCTATGATATCAGTTGTACCTGGTTATATTTCTAGATCTGTTGCTGGGTCATATGATAACGAAGGAATAGCTATTTTTTGTATGCTTCTAACTTACTATATGTGGATTAAATCTGTAAAAACTGGATCTATTTATTGGGCTGCAATGTGTGGGATTGCTTATTTTTACATGGTATGTATGTATTTTAATATTTTTCTCTGTGATTTATTTATTTAACCTTATTACAGATGTTTATGTTTGACATTAAGAAATATATGTATAAAGATAGTTCATTCCAATGGACATGCAAGATTCCAGTGGACATGCAAGCTATAAAAATTAAATAAATTATTGTATAAAGTTTGAAATACCAGGTTATGCTTTTCTTGTATTAAGTGATGATAAATTTTTTCGTCTTGTAGTTTAAAACATTTATTAGTTAATGGTCAATTCAGGGTTTATCTCGTAGTTTTCCCTTCAGATTATTCCATTTTCCCGCTTCTTCCCATATAAAATTTCCGGTAAAATTTTTTTTTGCAGAGGTGAAAATATTTTATTAGGAGTTTTATTTTCTGTGTAGCAAAAGTATTGAAGCCTTCATTCTGCCCTGGGGTAAAACTGGTTGATCTTCATAAAGCATCCCCGTTGCCTACTTCAGTATTTTCTTATCGTTGGAGGACTCATTCCGGACTCATTGTTTGTTCTTTCTTTCCCCGTCACTATTTGATTGAAATCTGTTCCTCCAGCTTTTTCATAATAATTGCTAATAATTTGATCTGTTCTTAGAAGAATGGCCAGCTTTCCTACAGATATAGTATCTCATTCTTTTTTTTGAGGTTTGGTAAATAGATAAAAAAATTAAAAATCCCTGGTGATGGGATTGGTTGGAAAAACAAATTGAAGGAATATATTTATGTGAGTGTATTAGAAAATTAAATAAATGCACTGTGTGCTATTGTACCGTTTCCTGCAAGGAAATGACATAATCCAAAAGATTTGATTTGTACTTATGGACCATGTTAAATCATTAGAGCGTAAGTCATTTCTTCAGATATAAAAGGAACATTTTACACTACCTGATGAGTTGATTTAAACCTTTTTTTTGTTTTCTTTTCTTAGCTTATTTGATTTTGCATTTTAAGTATTTAGATTTAATTATTAACTTTTAAGAATTATAAATTTATTTTATAAATCCTCGTGATCAAGCTTGAAATATGATGGCATAATTGACCGAGATGAAACTCACTTGCAGAAAGGTTTTCTATTGTGATAGCGTAGAAATATTTCAAAATATCAGAAAAATATGCTGTGTCATAAAATGATTTCTTTTCATCGCAGTATAATCTTAATTTTGACTTTGAATATTTTTTGTTGAAGTGGAAAGTTATAGTAACTGCAGATAGGATACATCTATTATAAATTGTTTATTATTATTCAGATCTACATTTTCTCAAATATTTTTCTTGAAATTTTTTTTTATTGAGATTTGTGCAAATATGCTTTCTCTTTTTAGAAACCAAACTTAGTCGCCAGAAACCAGAAACAAAACTTTCGTTTGCAATAAGATCAATGATGGCATAGAAATATTTTAATGTAATGAAAAAATGCGCTGCTTTATAAAATTTTACTTCTTTACTCTTTCTGTGGTCTAATGAAAATAATCTTAATTTTGGCTTTGAACATTATGTTCAAGTGGAAAGTTACACAATGACTACAGACAGAGCTGCAGTGACTTAGGGCAGTGGTTCCCAAATGATGTTCCGCAGAACCTTAGGGTTCTGTGGAAGAGTGAAAGGGATTCCGGGAGGATTACCAGTGATGAGTTTTGAAACCTCTGATTATATTTAGATACAACCTATAATTCATAATTTATTTAATCTTTCAGTTGCCTTTATAAAATTTAAGTAAAATGCCAATGAATGCATTTTTTAAAAAGAAAATAAGTTTCTTATAACAGTATATTGAACAAATTATGAAAAAGAACAAGCATTTATATAATATTGCATTAGCACTTCCTATTGTGCTTTTTAATACAAAAAGAAATAATTCTTTAATAAAGAAACATGTTTCCCTAATAATCATAATTCGAATTATTTTTTTCATCTAATTTAAGATTATTAATGATGAAAGGATGAAAAACCGTCATTCCTTTAATTAGATAGTTTAAACATAGTTTTACATAGGTTATAACGTTCACAATTATCTTAATAAACTGTATTTATATAGTCGATGCTTTTCTGGAAGAAGATTAATTATTTAAGGTTCCAGTGCCGAAATTATTTTTTAACTGCAGACTTAGGTGATAAAGCGTTTGTCTCCCAATCAGGTGGTCCAAGTTCAAATCCTAGTGGTGTCTCGTTGATGCGAATTCTGCTCCCGACTCACAACAATTACCGTGTTGATTTAAAGTATCCTCAATGGTCGACGGATCATGGGTTAGAATCCCCTTGCCATCGGGCTAACAGTGGAAGGTTTTCTGACCTTGTAACACCAATGCAGGTTAGTTCCATCGAAGTCCTCCATGAAGGCCAGTTTGTTCCAATGCTTGATCCAGGAGTTCCCTTGTCTTCTTTGTTATGTTCAAAATTATAGGACAATGGAGTATAGTACTGATAGTTAAACTCAGAATTGGGTTGTCTGTTTTATTCCAGTTATGAAATAAAATATAAAAAAAACTGACAAAAGATTGATGAATTGAATTTTTTTAGAACTACCTCGTCTAGCTTTGTTTTCTTGAAAAGAAAATGAAGGTGAAAATAAAGAGTGTTATTAAGTGCTGGAAAATTCGATTGAAGTTATCTTTTTCTTTGGGGACATATTTATTGCAACACACAACTTTTGCTGTTATAATCAACCTTGAGTTATGTAGTGTTTTTGTTTAGCAAGATTAATTTTATTTTCAAGATTATTTTTCTACTGATAATAGATCACTTTAGCTATGTAATGTCTTTATTTTAAAATAAAGTTGCCGAATTTTAGGATCCCCTGCCCCTAACTGTAAAAATTTTTAAAAGTAGCTTTTTTTTTGTTAGCTGCTAAATTTTTATTATCTTTTCTTCTACTTCATAAACAATACTAATAAGTATTAATATTAAAAACACTTTGTTTTCCTTCCTTTTTATTTCTATCAATCTTTTTACTTTCCTACAAGCCAGTTTTAGACTCAAGGTCAAAGATGATAGAAACTGCTAGCAGGTGTTTTAAAAGAATAATGGCAGTTGTTTTATTTACGTTTTCTTTCCTAAGTGGTTGTTTTCGTTTGATTACGTAATTTTTTTTTCTGTTTACTCATAGATAAATGATAAAAAGAAATGTAGAAAAATTCTTACAGAAGTGTTAAAAAATCTTTAAAGGCTAAAACCACGCAAAAATTTTATAAAGGGGATCCACTGCCCATGTATTTCTGGGTTGCAACTATTTAAGTGAGTAAGATATTTGCAAATTTTTGTGGATTTAAGGAAAATTTAAAGATCCCATGATCAAGCTAGACCACTTATTATTTAGGGATATATACGACTATTTATTTGAGTTTAATATTTCCTCCAACAGGAAAATCATGGATTTTTTAGAAATGTTTAAAATAGAATTTCAAAAATGTTATGAGCAAAAAAAACTTTAAATAATTGAAAAAAATGCCTGAAATTTTGGCAAGGAAAAAGTATGCATTTATCTACAAAATGATATCAACGTTTTAATACAAATATAGATGTGAGATTTTATTTATTTATTTAAATTTTGTGAGTATGAACCTCAATCTGTTTTTTTAAATTACGTGAATATGAATCTTGATCATTTAATTTTAAAATTGTGTGAATACAAATGATTGTATTTCAAAATATATACCTATAAGTTAGAGATAATTAGTGATCTATTAAAAAAAAGAAAACTAAAATTTTCACTTCAAAAAGCAATTATTTCTATAACCAGGACAAAATTAGAATATTTTTTTTCAATGGTTTCTTTTCTGAACCAGAATCTATGCACAAAAACTGTCTATTAAGCAAAAATTGTGTTTGTTTATATGTTTATGTAATTTATTTTTGTAAGGTCCAGTTTTTTTAGCCTTGTAATTTTTATCAGATTAAAAAACATCTTTATAATTTCGCTTTTGTTTAATATTAAGTATATATTTATCTTCAATCAAACCTTAAAGCAGGGTAGTTCAGTGAGTGCAGTTATAACACCAAAAAAAAATTTAATAAACGCTGAAAACTTGGACACTAAGCTTTCTCATTAAAGTTTTTTATTTTATTTATTGTTTTTTTCGTTATAGTTAACCAGAATTTTATTTTTCTATGACAACACTCAGAATTTCATTTTTGTAAGAATATTAAAATTAACATATTCAATAATTGCAACAAAAGTGTACGAAAAAAGGGTTAACCTACTTTTAATTAATAAGCTGACGCATGTTTATATGTTAATTGTATCTATTCAATTGTAATATTTTGAACTTGTGTTTGCAGGTATCATCTTGGGGAGGTTATGTGTTTCTCATAAATTTGATTCCTTTGCATGTATTAGTGCTGATGATTACTGGTCGTTTTTCCCATCGAGTTTACGTTGCATATAGTACAGTAAGCATAACTTTATTTTTTTTTCAGTTGACTACTTTTAATTTAGAGTAAAGTGTTTTATCTGAGGATGTTGACCATTTCTAAGAGTCAAATAGCAATATTATCCATTTTTTGTGAGTTGCCATTCTTAATGAGTTGATGTTATGGAAGGAAATGTTAGTATTTAATGCATTGAAAATTGTCTCAGTGGGAGAAAGAAAATGTCATCTGTTAAAAGTACTTTCTTCTCATTCTAATTAATTTTCTAAAATGTCATACAACTATTCATCTAAATTTGATTTGGCTTTAGAAAATATGATTTTTTTTTAATTTTAATTATTAGAAAGGAATGATTATTCATTTAAATTGACCACACTTGTGATTTTCTTTAAAGGGTGTAGTTATTGTACCTGTGGACAGTAAATCATGCTGTACCTTGGAACATATCCCAGAGTAAAAGATATGCATTATTTTAATAAATTCAACATTTTTCGTTACAAGGGTTCTAACCCATGACAATCCTTTAAATGCAAAAAATATTACAGGTATATTTTAGGCCAAGTATAGAAATTTTAAAAAATGTGGTATTATTTTCATTAAAATATGTTTAAATTACTTTCTTTAAGACAAAAAATAAGTTTCCTGCATGAAAAGTAATATTTTATTTAAGAAACAAAATGGTGCGTATACGCACCATTGACCAGATTAATGAACAATTCGTTTAGTTCAGCTCTTATATTTTTAATGGAAACATTTTGAATGCAAATGGACTTTGCATTTGATGCATAAATTAACCGTATGGTTTTTGCACACTTTACATCGTCTAATGATTTTTTTTCCATGCCCATTTATTGTATGTTCGATTCTATCAGTCTGTACTTCTATTAGTAGAGCTTCGGATGATGGGCAGCCTTTGTTTGAATGGGTAACTTGTACTCTTTCACCAGATGGATTGTTCTTGGATTCAGATTTTAATTGTGCAATAGCTATATAAGATCTATAGTCTATAAGTGATATTTTTGAGCCTGTTGAAATTCTATGTAGCTTACAGAAATTTACTATAATGCTATCAATGATGTTTGTAAATCCATTTCTTACCATTTCTTACCTTGAATCTTGAGGCAGTATTTAACTATGGCATTGTCATGTAGGTCTACACCTCTCCTATGCTTATTGTAATCTGACATAAGACTGAGTTGTGAAATCACAACTTCTTTTCTTGAGCTGCAATGACTCAAGGGATAAAGCCTTGCTCGAATCCCTGTGATGGCTGGTTGATACGAATCCTCATCCGGCTTGCACTGACCGTAAAATATCCTCAGTTGTAGATGGATCATGGGTAAGAGTCTCTTTGCAGTCGGGCTAAGTGTGGGTGATTCTTGTGGTTTTCCTCTCCATGTAAAGCAAAATGCGGGTTAGTTCCATCAAAAAGTTCTCCACGAAGTCAAATTCCTCCCAATGTTTGATCCAGAAATTCCCTTGTCATCTGGATTGGGTACAAAGTTACAAGGCTGCTTAGATGAACATTAGAAGTTGTAAACCCAAAAATTGGGTCGGCTGTTCAAGGACGGTTATATAAACTCAGTTGAGTGGTAGTGGTACAAATAAATGGTTTAACTTTCAAAGCAAACAAACAATAATGAGAGATTGAAATCGGTATTTTGTGTAGCCACCATGCACCGCAATAAGTGCTGCTACACAACGTGACATGGAGTCAAGCAAATTTTGAATGTCTTTCTGAAGAAGAGCATTCCGTATTGTTTGTATGCGTACCCAAAGTTCGTCCGTAGAAACAACCGGACGAGGATCACAAGCGAGACGCCGACCAATGAAATCCCACACATGTTCAATCGGCGACATATCCGGGGAACACGCAGGCCAAGGAAGAAGCTGTACTTGCTGCGATTCAAGGAAGGATTGAACAGTCCTAGCAATATGAGGGAAGGCATTGTCCTGTTGAAATACAGCTCCTGGCAAGGCTTGAAGGAAGGGAACAGCTTAGGGCTGTAGAACTTCACTGATGTACCGGTTTCTGTTCAGATTACCCGCAATTTGTAGCAATTGAGATCGTCTATGATATGCTATGACACCCCAGATCTTAACTCCGGATGTTTGTTCACTGTGGAGTTCGATAATGCACCCCGGAAGGTGGTGTTCACCGGCATAACGTCTGACACGAATGCGGCCATCATGGTACTACAAGTTAAAGAGGGATTCATCAGAAAACACGACACGCCACCAATCAGCATGCCAGTCCCTATGCTGATTGGCCCATTGTGGCCGCAGGCGACAACGGTTTAGCGTGAGGGGGATCCTTGCGCGCAGTACACGCTGCAGCAGGCATCTTCAAATTGATGAAGCACACAATGAAACACCTGTAGCTATGGACCACTGTGTTGCCAGGTGTCTATCATCGCGAGCTGACGTGACATTTCGGGATCCACTCCCAGATTTCCGAGTTGTCTGACACTCGTCCGTCCACTGCTTCCAAACACACATTACTGTGCTGCTAGTACGCTGTATACAAGTGGCTACTGCACGATAAGACAATCCAGCTTCACGAAGGCCAATGATTCTCCCCCGTTTAAACTTTGCAAGTTGTTAAAATCTCGCTCTCTTTCGTCGAAGAGGCATAAGTAACGACTGAGCTAACGTTTACCACTAGCAGATAACCATCATCGACAACCATACACGCCTCACTACAGCCGTCTATTCGGATCCATCCTCCATTCAGAGGGCGCTGCTCAGCATACGCATGTGCAGGGCTGATTGTGCTCCGGAAAAAATCTGGATTTCCAGATTTTTCGCTAGCCGTGATCCGGAAGTTTCCGGAGATCGAAGATTCTTACGTTTCAAAAAATCATTGATCCCAAAAGTTTCCGGAAATCAAATTTTCAAAGGCGGAACTTAAAAACACAGTTTATTTTATTTGTTTGTAAGTGAGAGCCAGATAAGCTTATATTCAAGATTGATATTCATTTTTTATCAGTATATATAGTTGTTATAATCATAAACTCAAGAAAGACATACTTGTAAATTTCAATTACTTCTCCAGGTCATCATAGGTATATGTAAATGGTATAGGTATGTGTAAAATTTTAAATATATTTTAAATAAAATTTTTTTTTTACTCAAGAAATTTTCCGGAATTTTGACAATCACCCCTGCATGCTCTACGGGTCTGAAATTCTAATAATTTGCATATCATGCTCTACTTTGCATTTTATGAAAATTTCAGCTCACTCGCGCAAGTCCTTCATGGTGTCGCAATTTTCACAAACATGAGTTTATATATATAAAAAATTAATTAAGAAACTTCTTTTCTCTCTATGCGACTGTATTGTTTGGCATTTACAAGGAGCAAAATGGTACCATTAGTAACAATTGTTACCACAGCATTGTCGTTCCATTTTATTGCACGTGTCTCTGTAGCCTTGCTGAATGCAATATCGTAGGAACCACGATATTTTCCTTTTTCCCCCCTTCATATGTGTGTAGTCATCCAATATACAACCAGCTATGAGATTTTCGCTAGCTGTGCCAGATGGGAAGAAGCCCTTTACTTTCAAAATTTCAAACAAACTACAGGAAGAGAAAAAGTTATCGAAATAAATTTTTCCATCTCAGGTTTTGAAACAATGCTAAGTAACTTCAGAACAATGCTTGTTCCTAATGGTATATTTTGTTCAACACTGTTAGCCTCAGCACAATAAAACTTTGATAAATTAAAAACTTACAAATAAGACTAATAAAACTCTGAATATACAATAGAACTCTGAAACCTTGCATAAAAAGTGGGTTTTCAAATTTTGCCTATTTCTCATGCATTCGGCCAATGGTGCGTTAACGCACCATTAAATTTGAATGAAATTTTTTTAATATATTTTGATATTTGTTTTATTTTAATTTTATTTTCTGAACTTACAACTTTAACCCATTATAAAAACATATAATAAATCTCAAGTGGAATAATAATACAATTTTAAAAAATTGACTTTTTCAACAACCATTTGAAGTTTAAAAACTAACTGAAAATTTCTCAACAGAAATTATGTACTCCAATTGAATTACTAATATTTTATAGATGTCTTTAGAACCCTTGAAGACAACAGAAAAATAAATGAAAAATATTCGCCACGGTGTTAATAAAGAACTATTTATGTGTGTTTATGCACCTTTGGCCAAAAATGGATTAATTTGATTTTATCTAAATAATTTACTGTGTTTTTTATATAATTAATTGACATATTTACAATATTTTTCATATTGTTAATTTGTTAATTTGCATATACATAAGGTTAATGTACATATTGTTAATTTGGAAGCGAAGTTCTTATCCTATGACTTGCAACTTTTTGTATGTAGTTTGATCAAATAAATGTTGTAATTTCGTTCAGATACACCATTTTGAGATATGCTCTGCATCTGCAAAATTCAACTAAAAATTAAAAGTTTTTCTTTAAAAAGCTCTGAAAAATTTTACTGCATGAAGAATAGCAGAGTCAATGCATCTATTATGAATGACAAATTATGCTTAATATAAATAATAAAAGTCAATAAATAATAATTATTGCATATCTAATAATCAATGCTATCTTACTTTAAATTAAGAAATGATGCATTTTATTAATTTTCATAATAACTCTTCAAAATTGCACTGAATTAGGCCGTCTACAAGTTTGCGCAATTCAAACACAAAACAATAGCAAATGCATTATGTCAATGAATCCTAATTTTAATTGTGCCAATTTTATGTTAAAGCTATTAAGTACCTAAAATAGTTACATTATAGTAAATTAATGAAAAGAATTTTACTATATCTTATATAGTGCAATATTGTACTATATAAAACAATTGCGATCACATCATATATTTTATTTTGATTCAAAATACCTAAATATTATTAAATCAAATAACTAAACAGCTAAAAACCTTTCAAATACTCTTTAAAAAATAGTAATAAAAATTTAAAAACTTGTTTTGCACAAAACTGAATCATAAAATAATCGAGAATGCATTTTGTCTTTTATAATTAATTTATAATATCACAATCATAAATAATTCAAATGATTAAACAGCTGAAAATAAACTTTAAATGTAGAATCAATGAAGGATATTGATTTTTCTTTAAATCAGCTGTCAAAGTAAATAAAAATAAAAAACATTAAAAAAAACAGGAAACAAGCAGATTTCCTAAAATACAAAAACAGCATTTCACATATTTTCCCTTTATCCATGTGCTAATCATGTTGTATCAGTCTGCTTGTAAGTCTTTAGATTTTGAAAACTTATATTTCTCAGCATAAAAATAATGAAGCTAACTTTCAGCTGAAAGTGTGAATTAACTTGACCTTCAAGATAGTCTAAGCATTTCACCCCACTCATTCCTTTTAAAGAGTGACTTTTCCTCTTTTCTTCACACCTGCAGCAGAAGAAAGAGAAAGAGGGGAGGGGGAATTGTATTTCTGTTGACCCGCTCTTTTTTGAGCTGTTGTTACATTTTTGCCATCTCTTTTTCACCTACAGTGTTAATTCTTTAGATTATTATTGATCTTAAAGTATAAAAATATGTCACAGCTGAAGATGAAAATGGGAAGAGTGTTAATGAAATTTTTGAGAATCAATTCAACAAAAGAAAACACTTTCAAGCTTTTATGGAGAGAGAAAAATTGTGAGATACGTCACACATAAAAATTAGAGTTTTAAATCATAATTGCTGCAGTGTATCTCAGGGAAATTATTGTAATTTTTTTTTTCCTAAGTCAGCTTGTGTACAATTTCCCTAATAAAGTTCTTTCAGAATTAAGTTTCTAATATGTTAAAAGAAAAAAAAACTTATGTATAAATATTTGTTCACCTTCTTCTACCTCTAAAAATGCCTGCATTATCAAATTAGGAAAAGCTGGTATAAATGTCCATATCTCTTATTGAAATAATTGCTGTAGTAGGGTGCTGCAGCAAACCTTAGCATGTAGGAAATGGTGTTCTATATGCTGATGTTTGCTCTATTCATTGCAATTAGATTTAACTGTTTTTATTAAATATTGGTTTAAAAGTAAGAACTTTTATCCTTTATGGAATAACTATTTTTCTATTTTAGTCCCTTAAATAAATAAAATATTTGTTTAATGGCATAATATCGGTTTAAATATGTGACTATTGTCTGAGTCATAAAATATGTCGCAAAGTACAAGGATATGTTATATCCTGGGACAATTTGCAATTTTTACAAATTCATATTTTTCATTATTTATGCTGGATGCATTACAAAGAAAATGTGTGTGAATTTAAATATTTTTAGACAATAACTCTGGCATCATTGTCAGAGTCAAAAATTAAAATTTGAAAATTGTCCTAAGGTTTCAACATTCTCTTTTTATTTGTAATACTTATAATATGTAGCTTTACATTTTTAATAGAGCATTTAAAAATTTTAGTATTTCATTATTTTGTCTTGTAAATTGAATCAAATTGATGTATTTTAGCTATATTGCCTTGGAACATTGTTGTCAATGCAGATATCTTTTGTTGGATTTCAACCTGTACAATCAAGTGAACATATGGCTGTAAGTATGTTTGTAGAATATCAAATAAGTGGATAAAATAGTTTTTAAAATGATAACATAGTGAAAAGGGGCTATTTTAGTTGAATTAGAATTATGCATTTTCATTAATTCATATTTAATAACATTAATTAAAATTGACTAGCAGCATTAGCATGTATTACTATAGTTGCTGTTAAAATATATTGATATGCTAAATAATTCATATAAATTGCCATTTTATTCTTACCTGATTTGTGGTTTCTACTTAAACTTAACTTAAACTTAATTCAAACTTAAAATATTTCACATTTTCTTTTGAAAGCAATAAAAATGATGTAAAAATAGTATAGTCTTTTGTTTTAATGTTTTTTACTTCAAATATTAAAACCAGTATTAGGATGCAGGGTTCCCAAAAGGTCAAGGAGAACAGGGAAAACCTGGAATTGTGAGGGAAATATTTTAACTCCAAAAGTCAGGGAAAGTTGCAATTTTTTTTGCAAAAACCTGGAATATTCCTATATCATACCTGGAAAATAACCAGTCTTAAAATTGTTGTAACATTAATCAGTTATTGAGATTCGAGTTGAATAATTCTGACATGTATTGCAATTATTTGTTGTAAAAATTTCAGATTTTAGTCAAACTGAAATATTTCCTTCCTCATTTAATAATATTTTTTTGCACAGAAAATTTAATATTTCACATTACAAGTAAAAGAATCAAAGTTTTCTGATGGAAATATGGTCTCAATTTTCATTGAAATTTACCTGGTATACCTGAAAAGTCAGGAATTTTTTTTTCCTTCTGAAATTGAGTGGGAACACTGAGGATGTTCTTTAGAAATTTAATGTAGCTAGATGCAGGGGGGCACAACCTTTTTTGGTCAATGGGCCACAAAAACTGAGAAGAGACAATGCTGATATTATAGTGTAGCATTATGATTTTAAAAATGGAGTTTAAAATGTATTGCTTTTTCCAGACTTGCATAAATGACAAATAGCAATTTGTTGCAGCGAATTGCAACATAGCATTGCCCACTTAGAAATTTGTTGTATGACTTATACATGATGAGTATATATTCGGAATAGGAAAAAAAAGAAATTTTAAGTGAAAAAAAAATTAACATGGTTTAATTAATTACCTTACATAATTTTAAGTTTTTGTTACAAACATTGTTAAGAGCAAAAGAAATCAGTTCTCATTTTATAATCATTCAGAGCTGGGGACACAAGGGGAGGTGCCACTAAAACACTTTCAATAGTGAGTCACATCCACTTAGCACTATTTTTAAGTGGATTATCTACAACCTGGAATTCAGTGTTTTCAAGAACAAAATATTACAATTTTCCCACCTATCTTATTGTGATGGTTGGAACTGAATTTTGGACACTTTTTTTACATTGATTGAGTTTATTGGAGGCAATATATGAAACAGAAAGGAAATTTTCATCTGTCATTCTGCTTCTTATCAGATTTAAATAAAATGAATATCTTTCTGCAAGCAATTGATGGACTCTGGTAAGTGGTTTATACCCTTTTTGTTGCCACCTCATTTTTGTGAAATTTGTTTGAAAATTATGGATTGTTTAAAACTCTATATTGATTCAAACCACAGGATGAGTTTTGAACCAAAAAGCTGAAAATGGAAATATCAAAATTTTATATGCGTGTATGTAGGAAGAAAAAAGTGCATGTAGGAAGCATTATCCACAGAATGTTATCTACATCTTAATAAACATATCAATGCTAAATTTTATTTAAATTGTGCGAATGTGATTCTCAGTGTGATTTTTAAATCACGCGAATATGAATCTCGATATTTATTTTTAAAATCATATAAATACCAATCTCGATATTTAATTTTAAAATTGTGTAAAATAGGAATTCAAATTTATAATTTTTGAGTCACTTGGACAAGAATCACAATAGTGGCTTTTCCTGTATCGCGACGTGCAATTTTAAATAATGTGAACACATATTGGTATGTGTGATTTTAAATCATGTGACTGTAATTTTAAATTGTGTTTGCATATGTAGGCAAAAGTGTAAAAACAAATAATTTTTCCTCGGGAATTTGAAAAAGGTGAACTTTGTTTTGAAAAGGAGTATTTTTTTTATTAAATTGAAAAATGATTATCAAAAAGCTCCCGATGCATTTTAAGCATTCGTTTATATTATACATAGTTCGTTTATATATACTGCATCTTGTCTTACATTTATTGACATTTATGATCAAAATATATATGTGCTTGCAAATATTGCAGAACAAGTTGCAACATTTTTTTCAGCTCATGAAACTTTTCAGGTAAGGAATTATAAAATTGATAGAGCTTCCTTTTCTTGTGTTCATTTTTCAACAGCTGAACTTTCCAAATCAACCAATGCTAACTGGAAATTATCACTCACTGTTTTTAAATCCACATTTAAAATGGAAAAAACAAATTGAGCTTTATTTTGCTCTTTCAAAATCAACAAAGTGCTTGCCAAATGCATTGATAAGAATCTGTACTTGATTCTCTTACTGCATTTTCACATGAGGAAATTTTTCTTACATTCTCTGGCAGGTGCGGAAATGGGCACCTTTTTTGAGCTGCTTCTTGAATAGGTAGTTATATTATTCACTAACAGAAATAAAAATTAATCTTTTCTCTGTAATTTGGTATTTAGGTAATTTAAATAACCAGTTGTATTAGTTAAAAAAGCTAAATCAGTTCTTTTAATTGCTTAGTTTTTTTCCTGTTACACAAATAAGAGATGATTTGATCAAAAAGTTTGATGAAACGTTTTAGTGAAGTTCCGTGGCTCAGCCACCTTACTCCTCTGTAATGAAGAATGTCTTCAAACTCACTTAAAAATTCTTTGAACTCTCTGTGTTTTAATGCACAACTACACACAAATTTGATGGCTTCCTTAACACGTTTCATCAAATCATGAAACCGGTGCTTTTTATTTCTTAATGATTCTTAGTGAATAAGGCAATGAAATTGTTTTAATTCATGCCCATGTCCAAGTTGTCCTTTTAACAAGGAAACCATTCCATTATTCACTCCCATCATAGCATGAACACCATCCTTAGTTATGCTGACATATTTATCTTTATCATTGTAACACAATCCTGTCAAGATCAGGAGAATTTCACTTACAGTTGTTTGATTTACACCAAGAAATTCGTCAGTAATGGAAAATTGATCAGAAATTCCTTAAACGTGCACCAGTAAGTGGGCGACTGATTTACAGTCTGGATTCATCAAAAGCAAGAGAAAAAAATGAAATTGCGAGGCCTCAGATTTAAGTTGCTCCTTAATTCCATCCCCTTTTTTGTATAGTCATTCTTATTAAGACTCAAGTTCTTAAACTTTTTTAAGCAGTAAACAATCTTTATTAAAATCACCATCAGTAAACAGTTGGCCCTGGTTAGCAATCAATTGGGGTGTGCCAAGACTCACTTTCACACAGGAATCTAACTTAGATGATTGTTTCTGAAAATAATTCACTTGATTTGATTAAGAATTTTGATTTTTTTGGGAGCCCTTGTGCCCTTTGGTTGATCAAAATTACTCTTATTTTGTTTCATAGCGATGACGCAAGTTATATTCTTTTGCCATTGTCATGTCATTCTTTTGCTATGTCATTTTGCCACTACTAGTACACAGTAAGCATATGACTTCTCCATCATTATTAATGAAACAATATTTTTCAGTCCATGCATCTTGAAATTTCTGATTTTTATTATCACCTTTCCTTTATTTAACAAACAAATTAAGTTTGGCCAAAGACGTAAGTAAGTAAAACAACGAAGTAAAAAAAAAACTTCTAAAAAATGTTATTCTAGGTATCATCAAAAAAGAAGATGCTAATAGTCTGCCTGGTGAGGGAGAGACTTGACTAATGATGGTAGGGAGAGAGGACTATGTTCTCAAAGTAGCTGTGGGTCTTTTTCTGTTCTCTGATCTGTCAATGTCTGAGAGTGAGTGAACAATTGGGTTATGATGTAAATAAAATTTTTGGAAGAAGTTCTTAGAAAAGTAGCGGAAGAATTCTTTTAAAGTGGGGATATCAATGTATTATATTGTAGTGACACAACTACTGGAGCAGGCTGATTTGTTTGATGGTTTGGAGCTCTCTGTTACGGGTTACAAAGAATTTAGAAAGCAAAGCGCCTGTTGTCAAAAGCAGTATCAAGTGATTCTTAGAAATTAAGAATCGTGGGGACTCAAGCTTATTTATGTTAATAAGGACTATCTCCTCCACTGTTTTCCCAGGTGTCTTTTATACTTTTTTCCCCTTCCTCAACCAGTTTTAGTGGTGTAATCCATGTGGTAAAAAAAGAGAACTGTCTAGAATGAAATATTTTCCATTCAAGGAAGAAAAAAATGAATGTTTTGAAATTTTTTCAAATTATTTTTTTAGAAGAATCAAAATTTTAATGAAGTAGTGACGGGGCCATTTCCAAAGGCCCTGCATGCCACAAATTGTCCCTGGCTTGGTGGAAAATTCATTCAAAATTTTATTTATTTATGTGCCGTTATTCAGAAATAAAGTTCAACTCCAAGAATGGTAGCATCTAACTATGTAAGAAGTGTACGATTACACTAAATTCTGAAATATTTGTCCAATATGTTGACAAAAAATAGAATACATATTTTATTAGCTTATGTATGTTGAAATTTCATTTAAAACAGTGATTAATTAATGAATTTTGATCATCCTTTGTATTTCGTTTCTGTATATATGCTACTTTTACTTGTAATATTAATTTGAATCATTTAAGAATTTATTGCATGATAGCTATTGTTAATGCTATTATTATTATTTCTTTTTTAAGTGAAGATAATTTTTTTTGTACTAGGCTTTAGGAGTTTTTGGCTTGTGTCAGCTTCATGCATTTGCAGATTATGTGAAATCTCGGCTGAGTTATGAAAATTACCGTGTTTTAATTCAAGCTGTGTATACTATTGCTGCTGTTGCATTTATAGCTGTAGCAACAGTTCTAACTTTCACTGGAAGTATCCTTTTTGTTGTAACTTATTATAACGTTATTTTCTTTTTCTGTTCATTATTCTTAAAAACTAAATGTTAACCTATAATGTAAAACTAAGGAAATGTTGAACAGCTATATTTAAAAATAATTGTGTGTTCATTTTAATGTCATTTAAACAAAAATACTTCTAAGAATTTGCTATTTGTTTTGGGTTTAACACTTTAACTGTGGACACAAAATTAAGTTTCAGGTAGGAATCTGGTTCCTTGTTACTATAAATTTGTCTAATTAGTTAAAAAGATAAAGCATTTAATGGTATTTTCTTGCATTAGTTCTCTGGTGAAATGAACTGATAACTAGAAGATAATTTATTGAAAATTAAATATTTTAAAGGCTGATTCTCTATTTTTATCATTTTTATAATCTTTCTCTTGTGTTAAATTTTTACTATGAACCTAAAATAAAAAAAAGCTTGTTAAGATTCTTTTTTTCATTTTCTGGGGATAGTGAAAAACATTTACAATTAGCTTAACCCTACAATTTCATTTTTTCATTGCTATTAAATAGACTTATAATTTTTCAAAATTCTCTGCATCAGATCTAAAGAGTTGTTTCTTAATAATTTGAAGTATATTATAAATTGCTTTTTTTTTTTTTAAATCATGTTTTGTAACTATTTGTAAAATATGTATAAGAATTTTGGAAAGAAAAAATATGATGTTTTTAGTAAGCTGTAAGTAAGTTTTTTTTCCTTCCTAAAATCATTTATTAGTTTTATAATTGCAGGGTTGCCAACTTTTTACACTTTTGAGGAAAATTTCTTCTACTAGTTGCTGAGTTTATGTTTTAATGGATTATTCTTTCTCTGCAAAATATTTTGTAAAAATTTCATAGCAGTTGACAGACTTGTAATTGAGTTCTCTTGTGGTAAGTTTTAAATATTGTACAATAACAGAACTGAGAACAATATTCAACAGATACCATACTTGATGCTTTCAGATTGCATGTTTGATAAGAAAGTTTCATTTTCGTTACTTAATCCATCCTGTGGAAAATCGATATTTATTTCCATGAAAATAATGAATATATTATTCCATACTCTGGAATGTTTACACCAGTAATTACTGACTTGTTTCATGGAAAGAAACAATACAGCTGTGTACAGTCCGTATGGTGGACATACCTTGCTTTGGTAATTGCCATCTCGTCTACTACTGGTTTTCTTATAATTGTCTGTAACAGTTATTTTTAAAAGCTATTGTGATTGGCTGATGCTATTTTCTGATGCACTTTTGTAATTTCTGGCTGGCAACATCTCGGGGATAAAGCTCACCAAAGAGCATTTTAAACACAAAACTTTTCAAGCTGGTTAAATAACTTCTAAGATATTGTGATCCAACACCATAGGTTAAGAAAAGGAAAATCTGCTGTAAGTAGTCTTGACTGTTCTAAACATCAGTACTGTTCAAATTTTGACTGTTCTTAATATAAGTACTGTTTGCAACTCTTGTTACAAATTCGATTTGAGAACTATTTGTTGCATAATTGTAAAATGATGAAAATTAAAGTGTAATGTTGTAAGTATTTCATCTTACCTTAAGCGATAAAAAATTACAATTATCTATAATTAGAAATTTATCTATGTTCAGAAATTGCTTGAATATTTTTGTTTTGCTTTTCAACATAAAAGTTGTGAGTTTCTGTTTTAATTTTGTATTGTCCATTTTGTTTGATGTTATCCCTTTCAATCTTGTGTTATTTGTTATGACCGACATTGTTTTTTAAACATGTTATTGATTTTACCTGACATCAACTATAAATGTTCTTATTTCTAATTTTTGTGCTTTAAGCTATTTTTTGACTGTTCAACAAAATTTTTTATTAATTTTGTAATGAATCGCTTAAAATTTCACAAGTATCTATAAATTTTGATAAGCTAATCTTTAGTTGTAATATTTCTTTTTGTTAAAATTTTGAACTATTTAGTTGTCTTAACCTACTTTAGAAATTTCTCCTTGGACCGGAAGATTTTACTCTCTTTTGGACCCTTCTTATGCAAAGAACAACATTCCGATTATTGCATCCGTCTCAGAACATCAACCAACATCTTGGTCAAGTTTTTATTTTGATCTTCAATTTCTAGTATTTATGTTTCCCGGTTAGTGCTGTTAATTTATTTATTTTTAATTTTGCTTTGGATAAAGAATATATAATAATAATTATTAAAATCATGCTATTACCACCTATCGCTTGAAAATTATGTACGTTTCGATTCCTCATCAGAACTAGTAATAAGCATGTATTAGATTTAGAGCTCATTTAAGAAATATTTATAATTTTCATAATATTTTGCTATACATATATGAAGTGAAAGGTAAAGGTAATATTAAACTATTTTATAAGTGAAAAAAAAAATCGCAGCAGATAACATTTAAAATCTGAGGTTTTTAAATTTAAATAAATTATTTCCTCAAATATTTTAAAAAGCTTCAATTAATTTATTATAAATAATTTCTGTAAAAAAAATAATTTTTTTAAAATTGTTTTTTTTACAAAACTTTTATTTATTTCATACATTATTTATATTTATCATTAGTTATAATTTATCTTTATGTAACTAAATAACTTTAGAATTACAGCCTCGTAATCTTATAATTATGAGGGAAACAAAAGGCAAGGTAATTCCAGAGTGTAGTTTAATGTTATACTCACTGTTTGGAGGTCTCTTTAGAATTAAATTTATCACTTTTTATATTACATGTAAGGAAATATGTAAAAATTTCTCATGGTCAGCCCAGTGGCAATGGACCTATTGTGGGCTACGGGGATCATGGTCTTTAAGGTTCTACAATTTCATGACTAATTGTGTGATTGTGGCTATAGTCAGCATTGCCCTCAATTTTCCTTTATTTCCCAAACAAGCTGGTGTCCATCAATCTGAATCTAGGTGGTCTTAGCACCACAACTGAGGATCAAACCCCAGTCTTTCACAATGGCAGCTTTAAGGACCGAGCTTTTACAACTTTATAAACCATTTATCACTGGGAATATTTTATATTAACTTTGTACATTGCATCAATTACTTACATAACTGCCAAATTTTATGTGTTCTGTTCACATTTTTGTTTCTTTCTTTATTAATTTCTTGACATCTAAATAGTGGAAAAAGTTTTCCTTTCACTAAATTCAATTGTCATTTATGAAGCCAATCTAAACTTAAATATAGCCTAATTTTGTACTTAAGTAGCCATAAAAATTATAGTCTCGAACTAGATTTGTGAGAAACCTGACTGCAAATAGTGTATCAACTTTTAAAATTATCCTTTCTTGAAGTAAGCCAGTATATATTAAGCACTCTTTACTTTTTTGAACTAATACATAAATTAATTTTATGTTTTTTTTTATAGTTGGATTGTACTATTGCTTCTCAAAATTGACAGATGCTAATATTTTCATAATATTATATGGTGTGACAAGTATTTATTTTGCTGTAAGTGTTTTATTTTTAAAAAAAGTAAATTTCTATTCCAATAATAATGCATAATATTTAGCTGTGCACTTTAGTTTTAAATATGTGTTGTGTATATTCATTTAAGTGTTCTATCTGTTGTTTTATTAGAAAAAAAAACATAAATTGTAGTTAAAGGCAAGAAGGTTCTTTGGGCAATGGCGTAAGTCTTATGTTTTTCATTTTATGATCTATCTATTTGTTTGCATAGCTATTAGAAATAAAGAAAGGACTTCAAAATTTTACAAGTTTAATATTATGTATGAAAAAAATAGAAATTATTATGTTGCAGTTGATATTTTTATTGGAGTTGATTATTCCATTAATGAATATTCTAAATCTGGTGAGAAAGACTACTTTTTATAATTATTGAAGAGATATTCCATTTCATTGCAATGGTGGAAGAAATTCATATTAGTTTATTAGGATTTTGAATAAAACTATACATAGGTCCTTTTGAAAAATTTTTATAGCTTCTAGTTTCAAGCATGTGATAATTTGACAATTTTATTGAGAAAAAAAAAAGAATTTTATTGAGAAATAACTTTAATAATTTAAGAAGGCTCGGAAATATGCTATGCTTATTGTGGCATGATAATAGATTTTATAAAAATGTTTCAGATTGCAAGAAAAACAGTTTCAAATGTTTTTTTTTAAAAAAAGTATTTCAATATCTTAAATTTGCAATATTAATATAGCTAAAACAATCTTATGGTTGAGTAATAAAAGTTAAGTTTTTTTGTTTTTTTTTTGTTTTTTTGTTTACAGCAAACATTAAAAAAAACACTTATGTGTTAGTATTATTTTAAATAGTAAATTTATGCTTAATATTAATAAAATTAAGTGTATACCTATATAGAATTAAGTAGTAAAAGCAACTTTTACTTTAACTTGTTTGACTAATGTTTTTCAATATTATATGTTCCTTTTTGCATGCATGAAAATAACAGGCGTTATTTATCTTCGTACAAAAAGATTTAAAAAAAAAGAAAATTTGAGTTCTAAAGAGAAAAAAAACTTGATTGAGAAAGAAAGAAAAAAATTCAGATAATTTCTTCTTCCAGCAATCACACGTCTGTTTTATCTTAAATTTTCATTTGGAACATTAATTGTTGCCGTGTTTTTTTTTTCTTTTTTTATGTTGTGGTGAATTAAAGAAAGATGCCATTCAAAAAGAAATTTTTAAACCAGTGGATTACAATATTTTATTTATTTTTTTTGCCCTTAAAAATAATCTAGTTTGTATATATCGCACAAAAAAAATTTTGCCCTGCTTTTTATTTTGAACCACTAGGTCTGTAAGTATCTTTCACAAACCATAAAGATTGTCCCTGGAAAAAAATTTCATAAAAGATTATTTGGTGTAAAAATGTTTCTAATTTTTCCTTGGTTTTCCTTCACAATAGCTTTTATTATTCAAATCTAAAAATCCCAAGATTAAAGTAATGTTTGTCTCATAAGATCTTTATTATTGAAATATGATTACCTGTAATTATAAAAATACTGAGTGTCTTATGTTTTTTTAGGGAGTTATGGTCCGATTAATGCTGGTTTTAGCACCTGTTATGTGTATTCTTTCTGGTATTGGAATTTCTTCAGTTCTCACCATCTATTGTAAACAATTAGAAATTACACCAGATAAAAAATCTAAGAGGTTTGGAAGTAATTATTTTAAGAAAAATGAGGTAATTTTCGGAAATTGCATTTTTTAAATTCATGTGTGTATGAGTATATATTTGTAAATTTGCTTAAGACCAGTTTTTAATACATAACTTCACTGTTTCAGATTGCTTATTCCTTTATTTTCATCATGTCATTTTTCTTAACTGCATACATGATCCATTGTACATGGGTAACTTCTGAAGCATATTCATCTCCTTCAATAGTTCTTTCTGCGCGAAGTCATGATGGTTCCAGAATTATATTTGATGATTTTCGAGAAGCATATTATTGGTTGAGGCATAACACTCCTGAAGTATGTTTAAAACTTTTAAAAAAGATTATAAAAGTACTTAGAATTAATTTTAAAAATTACTTCAAAACTTTGGAAATTTTCTTGATCTTCTAATATAAACAAGCAGTTGTACATATTATAATAAGGTGTTTGTTTGCCAATTAAAATAAGTTTGATGACAGGTTTGGTTTTTTAATATACAAGTAAACTTGATCAAATTTAGCAAATTTAAATGCCATATAAATCAATCCTCACAGTGCAGTTATTTTGTTAACATTTTTTTTAACAGTAGTACAACATTTTAACTTCATCAAGGTTTTAAAATTTACAACGAGCTTTTATATGGTTTGCTTTGGGTTAGTTTACTGAAGAGTTGGGTACAATGAATCGTCAAGGTAATTCAAATGAATTGAATTAGTACACTTAGGTAATTTGAATCGGGGATTTGGAATCACTAAAGTGAATCATTTACTGGTTCAAATCAGAATTTAAAATCAAGAAACTCTTGTTGATTCAAACATTAATAGATTTCTCATCGGACAAAAAAAGTGATACATTATCATTGAAGAGGAAATTAAATACAGAGATACCATAGCTTTAAAAATTCTATTTTGTAAATAAATTCATTGATTTTCTTGAATGTAGGAAATGATATTTAAATAAGTTGTTTTAGTATTTGTTGATTTACGGTACTCGATTAAAGGAATATTACGATTAAATATTAGGCGTGTCTATAACATATTTTTTATAAAAGTTTAATAAATGTATTAGCTTAATTATGTACTTCATTGTTTTTTACATCATTATGTATTTGTTTAAAATAATTCAAATAAAATATTTATTAACTATTAATTAATTTAAATATTTTTTTCCAAAAAAGCATGTTCTATTAGCTGAAACAATTGTATTTAACTTTTAAATTAAATAACATTTTTAAGACATTTAAAAGGAATAATAAAATATGTGTGTTGCTAAGAGTTAAAGGAGCAGCAAGTTTTTTAAAGAACAAGAAGTTAACTTTACCCCTCTTCCCAACATTCAATTTTATGCTGCAAACCCTATGTAAGTTATTGTGTCTTTTTTGCTTATACACCTGAAATTCCTTTGTTGTAAACATCTCAGTCCTCAAGAACATTAAATTTCAAGAAGTACAACAATAAGCAAATTATAATACAATAATTTGATTGAATTTCTGTGTTTTATTTTATTTCTCCATTTTATTCTATATGTGATTATCTCTTATTTCTTTATTATATTTAAATTTCTGGAAATTTGGGAAAGGAATAATGTTTACTTATATCATTTTTCATTTCACTTAAAATTAAAAATGATTTTAAGCTATACTTATTATATTTCTCATTGCTTGTGGTAGCAGTTTTTACTTAAAAATTTTTAATCATTAACAATTTAGGTACTTTCTTTAATTAGTACTATCTGCATCATACTGTTTTGAAAATTTAAGTAATTATTAAATAGAATTGTTTGCACTTACACTACTCAACCTGGGATGAAAAAGGAATGATTTTCAGCCTTACTGAACATGGCTCAAAATCATTCCCATTGCAGTTCGTGTAGAGTATGTTTAGAGTTTGTTCCAATACCAATTATATTTTTATAATATACACTGGTGTGTAAAACTTAAGCAACAAGTGGTTTTTCAGCCACAGCTTCCCAACAAAGTATAAGATAGCCATGAAATTACAGTATAATATGCACGTAATTCAGTAGAAAGATTATTTGTATGCAAATTTTGGAAATAAAACGTCGTAGGTGATATAAGTGTACGTAAACCTTGTGAGTCGGCGCGCAGGTGAAAGCTGTGATAAAAGGATGAAGAGCACCGTAGTTAAAGACATCCGCTGTAAGTGCAAGTGATTTGTTTTGTGAAACATGTCTTTAAGAATTCATTTAGAGGACTTTATTCGAGGAAGAATGCTTGGGAAGCTTGAGGAGGGGCGTAGTGTGACCAGTGTCGCCGAAGAGTTCAGGATCAACAAAAGTGTTGTTTCTCATGCTTCGAATGCCTTTAAAACTACTGGTACAGCTGTTCGGAAGGTTGGTGGTGGCCCGTCCAAGGAAAACAACACCAAGAGATGACCGTTACATTGTCCTCCAGGCGAAAAAAAACCGTTTTCAGTCAGTGAGCGCCATATCTCAGCAACTGTGCACAACCACAGGACGACAAGTATCAAGATTTACAGTGTTCAGACGCCTCCACAAAGGTGCCTTATTTGCTAGACGTCCTGAACGCTGCATACCTTTAAAAGTTAGCCATCGGCAGCACTGTTTAGAGTGGTGCAGAGAGCATGAAACCTGGACACCTCAACAATGGAGTCGCGTCCTCTTCACAGATGAGAGTCGTTTTAGTGCTACAAGCGATTCTCAACGTCAGTTGATCTGGAGAGAGGTTGGAGCTCGATTTCATCCCAATAACATCGCGGAAAGAGATCGTTACGGTGGTCCTGGAGTTGTCGTCTGGGGTGGCATTATGTTGAACGGGCGGACTGAGCTTCAGATCTTCGACCGAGGTTCTGTAACTGGAGACCGCTACTGCAATGAGGTAATCCTACCCCATGTGCGTCTGTTCCGAGGGGCCATTGGACCAGACTTCATTTTTATGGATGACAATGCCCGGCCACACCGTACTGCTAATGTTCAAGAGCTACTGGAAAGTGAAGATATCACACGAATGGATTGGCCAGCTTACTCTCCAGATCTAAATCCCATAGAGCATGTGTGGGATGCATTAGGGAGACGTCTTGCGACACGACAGTATCCTCCTGGTAACACCCATCAGCTGAAAGATGCGTTAAAGGAGGAATGGAGACGTTTACCCCAAGAACTCCTGGATAATCTGGTGCTTAGCATGGAGAGACGATGCCAAGCAACAATTACAGTAAGGGGAGGGCATATCCCATACTAGGGAACATCTGCCAGTTGTACTTACGCTTCTTCAGGCAATCATGTGTAACGCCACTATATGTCAAATAAAGCCTTTTTTTGTTCCATACCCTACTTTAAGCTTTATATTCATTTCTGCGCCATTATTCTTTTACCATCGTTTAAGTACAAAATAATGTACATCATATTCAAATTTCATGTCAATCAGATGATTTCTTGTAGAGTTATGACAAAAAGCGCACTCGTTGCTTAAGTTTTGCACACCAGTGTATTTAATGCTAAATGGTGAAATACTTTTAATTTGGGGTAATTTTTCAAAAATGCCAAAATGCTAAATTTTAATAACTGAAATAAAAATAGAAAAATAAAATAAAAGCAAAGCAAAGAATAAATTTGTGTGAAATTCTTTGAACATAATTTAATAAAATGCAGGCACTTTTGCTGAATGTATTTACACAGAATGCTTAGAGAATGAGAAGTTATCTTCTTCCTTATCCCCAAAATTAGCAGGGCTAAACAATGTCCATGAAATTCATGACCCGGAAGAAGTTGGCTACCAAAAGTGGGTTATTTAGTATGTCCCTTTTGTCATGAGAAGTTATAGTAAAGTTTTATGTTTACATAGTGAAACGGTATGTAGATATGAACAATATATAATTCTAAAAAAGAAAAACATTATTTCTATTTAAGTATACTTAAGTAAAAGAAAGTCATTCAGAGTCGTGAACTTATTCAAATGAAGTGATCATGATTCAAACCAATTGAATTTGAAAATCAATTAAATTTGTTGCTAAATGAAATGTAACAAACAAAAAAGTAACAATTTCACATTTTAAATTCTAGCTGAAATTGAAGTTAAGTACTGAGTCAATGATTTGAATTATCAGTTTGAAACTGATTTGAGTCAAGTGATTCTAATCCTGATGATTCAAATCATCTAATCCATTGAGTAATTCAAAACATTGATTTGAAAAATAAAATGTGAAATTTTCATTTTTAACTACAAATTTATTGGTTACTCTTTAAACAAATGTAAAGGGACTGTCAAATGATAAAATTATTTTATTTGTGTTTAGGATGCAAAAGTAATGTCATGGTGGGATTATGGTTATCAAATTACTGCAATGGCTAACCGTACTATCCTTGTTGATAATAATACTTGGAATAATACACATATCTCTAGAGTTGGCCAAGCTATGGCTTCTACTGAAGAAAAAGCTTATGAAATAATGAGAGAACTGGATGTCAATTATGTTCTTGTTATTTTTGGTGGACTTACTGGATATTCTTCTGATGGTAAGATAATTTTCTATAATTTTTAACAACAAAAAAATTAGAGATTCTATTCTAAAGGTCTGATCTTTTTAAAGAAAATCTTGAGATATGTTTTATTATCAATTGTATAATAGACATATTAGTATTCTCTTAATTATTCTACTGAGCTTTAACTGCTAGATTATTTGCCAATATTTTGCTTAGTTGTTTTCAATTATTGGCTGTCTTTTTTTAAAAATTTTGTTAAAATTTAAAATAATAGATTACTTAATTTGTTTTTAAAAATTAGCAGGGGAATTACTAACCATAATCATTAATTTAGTGTTCAGAGTTCTGTACATACTTTTTTATTATAAATATAGGTAAATGCGCTTTAGAAAAGTTATGTTTAGAAAACACTTGTCTCTGTGCTTTAACCTTTTAAATGCATAATACACATAAGCATTTAGTGATGTAACAATGAAGAAAAACTTGTTCATGAAAGTAATCAAGTCAAATACAAAACTCAGTTTGTGGGTTCTAGAAAAAGTAATTTGCATGTGTAAAATATTGCAATTTGATTTAAAACTTATTTTTTAGATATAAATAAATTTTTGTGGATGGTTCGAATTGGAGGAAGCACAGATAGAGGAAAGCACATAAAAGAAAATGATTACTATACCTCGTCAGGAGAGTTTCGTATTGATAAAGAAGGCTCTCCAACACTATTGAACTGTTTGATGTACAAAATGTGTTATTATAGATTTGGGTCTGTTTATACTGAAGCAGGTAAGTTTATTTACAGTTACTAGAAAAATAGCAGAGTTTTACTTGATTTTTCATTAATTTTTGAAACATTCTCAATTTTTTTTAATAAGAGTCGGGATGTCTTCTGCTCTTGAAAATCATGAAAGTCTACTATTTTTAAACAAAATCAAAAAAAAATTTTCTTTTCAAGTGCTGCCAGAAGTGATAACCTAATTTTGATTTTCGGATGTTGTCATAACATTGTAACCTTCGTTAAGTGGACACTTTTGGGACCAAATAAATTATCTGCTTATGGAGTTACCCATTTACTGGAAGCCTACACTAATAACACTATTAAAAATATTGGAATTTGACAAACTACTTGGAAATGGCTAAAGCACTTTTGAAAACCTGTATGTATTTTCATGTGCAGAATACACTTTTTTAATACATTTTGTTTAAATATCAGGCACATAATCTTAATTGAAGAGCTTATCCAAAAGGCTAACAAACAGTGTTTTTGAAAAAACAAAAATAAGGATTTTGCTGACTAATTTTAAGGACAGAAAGAGTAGAAATTAGCTTAATGTTCTAACAAAGGAAAGTCAGAAAATGACTCAAAGAAAGAATTAACTTTTTTTGATTAAGTAAAAAATGATGGATGAACACACATTGTTTTTCATATTAAACAGTGTAAATAATAATTTAAATGAGACTGAATGTTCTATATGTGTTTCTCCTAACTCCTAATAAAAAATTAAGGAACCATATGGAAACAGTCGCTCAGCCTCACAAACTAAATGTAAAAACTTAAATTTGAAATAATGAGCAGTACAATGTATTTTTATGCAAATAATTGTATAAATGTTTTTAGAAGAACTTATTCTGACCTAATATTTCTGTTATTGTCTCTCATTGCATATTTTTAAATTTGAAAAAGAGATAGTTAAAAACTGTTTGATTATATTCTAATTCTATTTTTGGACTTTAATTTCCGGTAGATACACCGCACATCCGAAGAATATTGTTAAGAATTTAAATTTTCATATGTGGGCCATTATGTGGTAAAGGTCGCACTGTTTATTCACTAAAGTATGAAATGTCACGAGATTTACTCAATTATATTGAAAAGGAGTACTACATATAAGTCCGCTATGGTTCGCTTTCCAAATGCATAATAAAAGTTATTTACAAAAGAAAGAAGGTAACATCTTTATAAATGTGGAATAGTGGGCACCACATTGGTCGCCACATCAATTCTTATTAAATATGATATGCATGAAAATAATCTTTAAAACATAAAATCTATACTTAGAAAACAGTTATTGATAAATCTTTTTTTCATATGCACTTGTAACAGGAATGTATTGAGAATGATGCTTACTTACAGAAGAAAAATATAACCAATCAGAATTATAAGTTGAGAATGTGTACGCGATAAAAAATAAACTAATCACAAAATGAAAATAAATCATCTTTTTATTTATTTTTCAAATATTTCTGATCTTTTATTTAATCAAAATCAGATTCTTCACTTTTAGAATAAAACAAATGTTATAATCCATCATCGAGGTAACCACGGCATCTTTGTCATGCAACATCACAACCTTTTCCCAGGCGTTTGGCGGCATGAAACCAACATTATCGTTTGCTTTGACAATTATGTTGAGGGGAATTACCTTTTGGTATTGTTTACTTTTAACCATATCACTCGATTGCATTATTCTTTTCAATATAATCATTTTCCATCTACTGTGCAGGCTTATATATAGGTAAAAGATGTAATCTCATTCCTAGTAGTAATTATTGGAACACTTTGTTCCTGTATTGTCAACCGTTCTACTAGCAGGGCAATCAAATGTGAGTGGTGTTTCCTCCAAGTTTATAATTAAAAAAGGAGAAATTTTACCACACCTTTTACAAACTTCAGGAAGTAATTTTTTTTCCTTCCTAATTTTTTGGATGGTTTTGCCAAACAGTGGTTCTTGTCCTTACAGATATTTTTTTCCTTTTCATAAAACAATAGCACCAACTCGAGCCACCTTCGTGGTACAAGTTGGTACATGGCTTCTTTATTTTGGGTCATTTTTATGAATATAATAAATGGATTTTATGTTTGTCTCTGGACTTCAAACATCTTCTACTGACATGCATTTTATCTCGTACTACAGATTCAAATAAAATCTTGCCTAAAATAACTATTTTAGTCATTTTTCTTTCTTCTAAATGTATATTGAATTGCTTGATGATGAAGTTACTGAAATGATTATTTGTAAAATGTAAAGCATAATATGTTAAGTGATTAGTTTTAAATTATATAGGCTGGACAGGTGGCCAAGTGCTTTAAAAAATGTGTGGATCATCGATTTATCTTCACCGAGTACTTACGAAATTTTGACAAAAAAATGTGTTTACATAAAAAGGAAATTATCTTCCTTACTGATCAGTGAGGAGCACATAAAAAATTGGATCTAAGAGGTGATCAGATTAAATTTTTTTCCTCCTGCACAATCAAATTACTACCATGTGATTTAGACATCATTAATTCTTCTAGGGTTGTTTACCGACAATTTATAAAGGTAGCATTGGCTGAATTTAGATTCTTATGTGAGATTTAATATTCAACTGAAAAAAAAAAATAAACGTTTCAGAATCTTAAATTTGTTATCTACTTGGAAGAAAGTTACTCAAGACTGCATAGTCCATGGTTTCAGAAAAAGCGGTTTCCCAAATCCATTGAGTGCGACATGTCTGAGAACACCACTTAATAGCACTGACATTTTAGAGAATGATGATTTCTTCTAGGAATGCTCGCATATATCTAATGCTGAAATTATAATGTTTTAATCTGTAAGTCACATTAAGTTTAATTATTTGGGAATCTTCCAATAAAAGTAGTGAAAAAGACATCACTCAGTCTTATTAAAGAAATTATTATTTAAGGAAGATGGCATAATGTGGTTTTCTTCTGCTCCCACTGTTGAAATGTTAGAAAACATATTGTCATCTTTAAAATTGTAAGCAAAATCTTAAAATAAAATAGGGATATTTTCATCTTTTAAAATACTCAGTACAGACATTTTTTCGTGTTGTATTTTTTTAGTCTAAAGGTATATATTATATTCATTTTGAAATATTAGATATATATAATTTATAGTGTGCAAGGTAAAAAATGGACCAACCTAAATAACTTTTGATCTAATGGTTTAAGGGGATAAATTTAAATATGTTAGTACAGACGATATTTTAAGTTACAAAATCAGACACAAAAACGTATGTTTTCTGAATTAGCATTACTTTTTTCTACAGGTTCGAATTTCTAACCCCCAATACATAAGAGGTAACTGCAATCTTAGAAATATGGTCCCAATAAATTGGTCAGGAGAGAAGTCCAAAGTTTGGAACCTTTAATGATAATTTTACCTTCTGCGTATATAAAGCGAACTGAAAAATTTTGCACACAATTATAAAATTCGTTTATCCGAAGAATTAACTTATTAAAATTAATAAATATATATTTTTTATCCTTTTATTTGATATTAGTTGAAAATTTTTTTTAATTGTAAGGTATTCAATTTCTTACGTCATTTTAAAAATATATCATTTTACTTGGCAAAATTGATCGAATAATTCCTGAGAAACCAAATCTTAAAAAAAGTCGTATTTTAAAAATTCGATTTCTCAGGGACTATTAGACATATTTTACTCAAATTTTGCCATAAAAAATTATATTCTTTAAAATGATGTAAAAAATTGTTTATCTTACAATTTAAACATTTTTCAATTATTATTAAATAAAATAATAAATATTTACTAACATTTATTTTTTGCATGGAATTATCTTTGGGCAAAAATTTTTCAATTTGCTTAATTTCTGGAGATATGCTAAAAGAGAAGTAAACATTAAAGGGTCCAAACTATGAGGACCATATAGCCCAATTTCAGCTACCCTCTGTTTTTTTGGGGGGGGGGCAAAAATCTGAATCCATCAAAAATATGTTTATTCAGAGAAAGTACATTGTTGTGTTGAATTTCGTAACTTAAAATATCGTCTGCACTAAATTAATATATTTGAGGTCACGTTCTAGGACTCATTCTAGTGACCTCAAATATATTCGATCATTGCTCAAAAGTTATTACGGGCGGTTCATTTTTTATTTTGTGCAGTGTATATCATGTTCTTTTTTCCCTATTTTTATTTCATTTATAATACATTTTCTTAGCTGAAATATGCTTTACTTAATTTTGTATAAAAAGTTTGAGAAGGTTAAATTTCTAAAGCAATAAGTTGATAGTTTTAAAGAATAATTTGGTTTAATAATTGCAAAGAAATTTGATTAGAAATGTTATGTTAAAAAAAACCCACTTGGTGGGTATAAAGAAGTTTTTCTTGTAGGCCCACCTTGGCGAACTCTGTAGAAGTTAGCCTCACTTTATTGTGAAATAAATATTTAAAAACGACAAAAATTGCATCTTTTACTAATCAATATTGTATTTTCAATTTTAGGTAAACCTCCTGGATATGATCGTGTTAGAAATGCTGAGATTGGAAATAAAGATTTTGAGTTAGATGTATTAGAAGAGGCTTACACAACTGAACATTGGCTTGTTAGGATATACAAAGTGAAAGATTTGCCAAATAGAGGAGTTTAATGTCCCATTATTTGAAGCCATGGACTGAAACAATTTTTCATACTTAATATTTTCTATTCTAATTGTTGAATTTTTAAAACTTGAGTAAAAAAAGCTTAATTTGGTAAATGTATGTTTTTTTTTTTTGGGTTCTTTTATTTTTTTTCCTGTAATCAAAGTTTATGTGTGAAATATGCTGATAAATCTGATCTTAAAAATGTTTTGAAGAATTTTGAGGGCAATTATTTTTTTTAATGTTATTTCATTCCATTGATTATTTTCATCTAATTTTGTGTTCCTTGTTAATTATTGCTCATATTATTTATGTTTTGATAAAAATTTTTAAATAGTTTTGATAATTTATTTGTTCAATAAGTATTTTCTAAGTCAATTTTGCACAACAAAAAACCTTATTACTTTACTGTTGCAGTTTGTCATGACAGTTTCTTCTACTCATTAGCTTAATATTATATCTCAAGCATTTTTACAGTGAATGATAATAAAAGTATTTTGTTATATATGCTTAGATTGTTATTTTTTTTATTACACAGAACAAGTCAAAAATTAATGTGTATAATTGATAGTATAAGAAGTAATTTCAAAATATACTGTATTTTGAAGTAATTGCTCAAAAAAGACTCTTTTTCTATTATTTTTTAAATTTACATTGTAATTGGCAATTTTTTGGTACTATATTTTCATGGCGACCGCAATAAACCGCCAAACTAAGAGTAATTATACTCACTTTCGATTCCATTTAGACTTTGCATTCAAAGCGTGTGATATAGTAATGTAGTTTTTTCCAGGAAAAAAAGGTATCTCGCTATCGAATTGTGTAAAGGAAAGTTTGTGGAGGTGCAATGTGAAAAGTTTTCAGCCTTTTTTATGTTGGGAGCGAAAGTCAAAGAGGCATGGCTTGTCATCTTTAGAGTCTTATCCTGCAGAATTCATGTGTCTAAAATCCTATGGGGAAGACAAGCGTTTTAATTTTTAATATTGAAAGCAATCGGGGTGATACGGAAGCCACAAGCTAAATGCGAATAATTCTAGCTTGTCATTATTCTTGGCGTCATTTTAATAGTGGTCACCATGAAAGTCAAGTAGTGCCTTTTTTTTTTTGAAAATTGTTTTGATTTTTGCTTGAGTTTTATTACAACTCCTGAAATTCAAATCAGGTATTAAAGTACTCATTTTTTTCACTTTATTTTATCAGATTCCATTTTTTATCATTCAGTTAATTAGGAAAACAACAATTAACTTAAGCAAAAGCAGTTATCAGAAAACCTTTCTCCTCTTGTAATGTTTTTTTTTTAATGTAACAATCACTGATCAATCAACAGGGCAATCTATTTCCTTTATATGGAAATACAGTAAAACCTCCAGAAAGACCACCTCTATGTCGTGACCACCTCTATTTACGACCACTTTTGGTAGGCATGGAATTTTTTTCCTTAGACTTTATGAAGAAAACTTTCAGGGGAGACCGTTAAAACCTCTTCTAGCGACCAGGAAAACATCTGCACCAAATGCGGAAAAGGTAAAATATGGAAACACACACAAAAAAGTGAAAACAAACAATTTAACAAAACAATAAAGGTAGATACAAATGTATTCAAAATATTTGTGTGATGCTCTTATTTAGAGAGCTCTTTTTGAATCTCATGTTGAATTCAGAGTGCACTAAAGAAGCCATTATCAATGATTTACTTTTATAGTTGAAAGTTAAACTAGAAAGAAAAAAAAAAGATATTTTAAAAAAAGCAAACATCTCAAACAAACAAGCCTCTTCTCATCTTTTAAAGCTAACTAATTTTTATGATATACAAATTTAAACAAACATGATTATTTATTTATTTAAAATAGGTTTATTATGCATAATTGGTAAATTTGTTTTTGCACTTAATTATATCAGTTGGGATCATTTTTATAGATGCTAAATTTTATTCATCGATCAGTCTTTTCATGACACCAGCAGAAGTGTCATTTCTACTGACTTAAATTAAAATCTCGTGTACCTTCGATGACAATTTTGAAGTCAATGGAGGTAACCTCTAAAAACGACCAACCCAAATCAACGCCATTTTACTGTGGAATGGAGAGTGGTCGCTCCTGAGAGGTTTCACTGTAGTTATTAAAACAATATCGAAATGTGAATATATTCATTGCCAATTATACTATATTTACTATCAGATTGTAAGTATAACGTGACTGGGATATATATAATGAAATGTTATTATAAGCAAATAATGCACAGATTTAATGCTAATTGCAAAAAAAAAAAAAATGAAGTAACATATTTCTTTCTTTTATTTTGAACAACTATTGAGATTTAAAATACACGTGGCTCATTCCAAATGAAATCTACTAAAACAAAAAATGTTGCCGTCATGTCACAGATTTTCATGAAAGAGTTTTTGTTGGAAAGTATTTTGTGAAAAACTGTTACAATAATTTTTTCAGAATTTTTGTATCAAAATTGGTGTTAGGGGGGCGGGGCCTCTTTGAAATCTGGCTCATTTTAATAAAATGGTGTCCCTAGATAAGGTGGTTTCAATGTTTGTGACTTCAAATTTTATTTATGAACCATTTTTTGTGTCATTAGAAAGATAAAGGTACCGGTTATGTGTTAAAAATATTAAAATGCTGAATATATCTATCCAAAACTGTTTTAAAATTTAAATTTAAAAACATTTTTGGCAATTTTTTTTCTTCTTTTATTTATTTTGCAGAGAAGAAACAACATACCACTTTGATTTTTTTCTTATGATGCCTAATAGCGCACTTTTTTTACATTAAAAAAAAAATCAAGAGTGTGTTTTTTGTTTTTAATCTATAAAAAATAAACAGTGAAAAAAGCCTAATTATGAATTTCGCAATCTATAGTCGTCCCAGCTTAGTTGCATATCGGATAATCGAATAACCCGCTTATACGAATAAAATTTAATGGAACCAAATCATTTTATATGAAACTAATGTTAAACTTCCCCGTTTAAACGGATATTTGTTGTTTTTTGTCCCTGCCGAATTGCATGAAGAGGTGGTACAGAAATGAAAAATTTTTTATTTATGAGAAATGTTTCACCAGTTAAATTGGAAATTCCGTTTTTCAGTTAAGATAAGGATTCAATAGGGTCTTCCTGTTCCTTAATTGGTCTAAACAGGTTTTAAAGTTGAAAAATTAATCAAATCTTGATGCCAGTTATACATTCTTTGACTTACTTCACTCACACATCATTTAGAATGTAAAAAAAGGTTTGAAAGGAATTCGCAAGTTATGAAAGTCTTAGTACAAATTGAAAGGGAAAATCTAATTTTGATAAATTGACGAATTTAACGTGTATAAAAACTTCCACAATTATAAATTTTTTCGGAAGTTATCAAATAATATTTTAGTACCTATATTATACTTTTACTAACATTGATTCAGTTTTATGTAACTTTAGGGGACATTTATATTTTATGATACTAACGCAGACAGTTTTAATTATAACTGTTTATTGATCATAAAACCGAGTTTATTTAATCAAAACGCTATACTATGTATTAAATATTATTAAAAAGCAAAATTTCGCAAAAATTTAGAAATTAAATATTGAATATTGAACTTTTAATCGAATAACCCGCTTAATAGCATAGCTTTGGCTGGAACCGTTATGCGTAGGTTGACTGTATTTGCATAAAAATAAATAATAATACTTGCTTGTTTTTGTCAACTGAGAATAATTTATTTAATAACAGCATAACTACAATAGTTTATAAAGCTTGAAAACGCCTAATTTCAATTGTTTTGTTTAAAAACAAAAAATTAAATGCAACTAAATAATAAACTAATTTTTAAATACTATACCATATAAATCAAACATCTGAGACAAATATAATTTACTTAAAGTGTTCATAATAAATACATTTTAATAATAACTTAAGTTTAACAATATAAATAAATACATAATATCTAAATAAGCATATATTTTATGTTTCATAAAATTATAAATGTTATAAGTATAAAAATGACACAAGTATGAAACAAACTTATTAAATTGTTTGATATGTGTATATGCTTCAGTATATTTAAATCCAAATTTAAGGTTTTGTTTTTCAACCAGGAAATCGCAATTCTTACTGCCAAATTTCTTACCCAAAAGATTATAGAAAATAAATCTTTCGTACTTTTCAGTGTTCAAAAAAATCAAAAGGGTGTTTTATGTCATTAAAGAAGTAACAATGAAAACTAAAAATAAACATTGCAAGTTTAGGTGTTTTTAACATTTAATGTTATTTAAAAGGCATTCTAATGTTTATAAATCTTTTCAAATAATTTCTGAATGATGTTACATCTGGGCTAACTATATATAAGGGACCAGAACTGATCATTTTGCTTGGAATAGGAAAGTTAATGAGAAGATTTTCGAAAGGGGCTCAGCAAACATCCAACGGAATAAGTTACGTATAAGCTGAGGATGGAGAGCTGGGTTTCATGAAAGTTATTTTGGCTGGTATCTTGATTTTCTTCACTGATCGGCCAAATTTTTCTCAGGCATATTGATTGTTGTAGATTGCTGCCACAAACTTTTAATTATCCTAGTAGGTGGTTTTTTGATTTGAGGCACAAGTGAAACTTGAAAATATTGATTTAATGTGGAAACACGTAGTTTGAATAGAGCCAAATGAAAAAAGGAAAAAAAATCAGATTTCCCCATTAAAAATCTCCACTATTAAGTTTAACGGGAATTTGCATTTCGTTAAATAGACAAATATATAATTTTTAAATGTTTAGATATCGTAGCTTTCTGCAAATATATGTATAAAAATAAATTTATGTGAGCAAAATGTTCTAAAAATGCTTAATATAACATACAGCGTCATCGAATTAATTTCCTGATCATTGAAGATAAAATTAGCTAAATATGTAATTATTGAACAAGTTATAGTAAAAAGGTAGAGACTTTTTTTTTTTGTCTTGTTAAAGACACATTATGGTGTCATTAAGGTCAGGTGGTCAGCATGCTTGGTACTCATTTATCGACCCACTGAAGGGATGAAAGGCTGAATAATAGTAAATAGACAAAAAAGGAGAAAAAAAAAGAGTAATTGACTGAAAACAACATAAAATAAATATGGATAACAGTGACTTTCAACTTTTATAATTTTCCATTAAATGCACGCAAAATAGCTTGCGAGCAGAAAACATAATTCAATTGTACCCATTTAGTTTTATGCTCATTTAAATGCAGTTTGCGCATGTAGCTCGTGTATACTAAGACTTATTCTACCCAAAGTAATATAAAATGTTTTTTTTTTCAACAATGTTTTCTGATTTTAACTAATTTAGTTTTCATTATATATCTACATAATTGACAAATAGTATCTCAATCTTTAAGCTGAACTTGTGAAATATATCTATTGTTTTACTTATTCACTGATTAGTTTTTAATAATTAAATAATTTTAACCATCTTTGTGAGAAATATCAACTATTTTAGCTGTTATATTGTTTTAAATAATATTAAGTATTACATTAA